TCTATCTAAAAAGGTGTTATATCGATTACAAAATCACGTGACACACTTGCGTTACTATATCTCTAACCTAGTGATACGATCTATCGTTACAACCACCACCACCACCACCACCACCACCTTCCGGGCATAATTGCATTTGGCATTTTGGGAAAGTAATCAAATGTCGAACAATGTTGTTTCTGCTCAAGAAGGACTGGTGAAGGATCATCATTATCAATATCATCAAAATAGAGCTGGTCATCATTATCGTCATCACCATTATCATCATCACCATCAAAAATATCAAGTTGGCTGTGCTGAGGCAAAGTATGCTTGTGTTTTTAACTCTTAATTTTGTAAGAGGAAGATGGATTTACATTTAACAGTATCAAGTAATCACAGATCAATAAGATGACTTTTAAAACATGCTGAAGAAGATAACAGACCATATGGCGCTTGCCAATCCCCTAGATACATGTGACTTGCATTAACTCTGCTGATCATGTTTTGAAGAGTTTTTTTAAAGATGTTAAACATCAATCAAGAACAAGTAGCAATGTTCACTTTAATTAATTTTTAGTGTTACCGGAATCTTAGTTTATTATTTGTTCAAAGAGATAGAAGTCCCAGGATGAGCATACAGGTCACCAAAGTAATTGAATTGCATACAGCTGAACCCCTGTTAAGTGGCCACCCTCGGGGAAATGGGAGGAAGCCTTTTAATAGGGGTTGGCTGTCTAATAGGTGTTCGTGTCCTATGAATATATTTTAGATTGGGATTATTGCCTAGTGAACATATAAAATAACGTCAAGGTAATCATAATAAACTTGCGTTTGAATGTTATTATCTGTCTTCAAATTCTATTTTGGACTCTTATCTGCCATTGTCTTTTCCAAACGAAAGCAAACTATGTGTATCAATTTTTTTGTGGCCGCTTAACGGGGATAAGTAGAGTAGAGAACTTTTTCATTGGGACAACCAAGAGGTGGCCACAGCCGCTTAATATAGGTGACCAGTCAATAGCAGTTCTATTTAGAGTATTTTATTTTGGGACTTTGATATCTGGTTGCTTAATGGGGGGTGGCCGCTTCAATAGAGGTTCAACTATACATGCAGTATTATTCATTTAGAATTATGATGTCCTGGTGACCCTTTGAGAATTAGGCTGTGAGCAAGCTCTCTTGCCACACACTGCTTCAAGATCTATGGAGAAAGCATACTTGCAGGCCATTAGTTAGAGAATTGTACCATGTAAGAGCTATTTTAGGACACAGAGGTGGGGGTTTGATATCAATTTTATTGTTTGCCTCATTGCTTCTATCCTAAAATTCTCAGTATTACATGGCAGTGATGTTGTTGACAGTGCGACGATATGTCAATAATAATTATTGTCAAAATCAGCCAATCAGCATTAGGTTCAACCATGTGCCCCTGTTGTCACTCCATTTTACAACATGGCCGTGTAGCAGTGCTTTGTTGTTAGAATAAAGTTCTGTTGAGTTTATCAAGTTTACTGGACTTGTTTTCTTAAGCAGGCAGGAGATCCCAACAAGTTTTTACAAACTTTTCTTAGGGGATCCCTTTTACAATTTCTGCTGTAGCTATCTAAGGACAGCTGTTGATGTCATGCTAATCATGAACAGCCACATGTTACATGAAAAGCATGCTACATGTAAAACATGCCCACCTGCACCTAGATTAGCTTTACTACCTGCAGACATGCTAATTTTTATAGGTATGTTTATTTAAAAGGATTGTAAATCGATAAATAAAATTAAAGTGCAAAAGTGTGAATAAGTCAATAAATAAATGTGTAAAAAGTGTATTACACCGCCCTGGAAGTTCGCTCTATATCAACAAAATCTTCAATATTCGCGATTTCAATTCCAATCATGAATTTCCTTCTAAAACGAATGAACTACGCAACCGCGCCACAAGAGTAAAGAACGTAAATACAGACTGTATTTTTGCTGTATTTTTGCGCATTCTATGTAGCTTTCTGAACGCACACTGGACTTCAGCGTATTCTTCTGACAATGACTGTTTTAACGATATAGAGCGCTGCCGTAAAGTCAGGCATTTTGAAGGAGACAGGTAGTGTGTTAATCGTGTGAAATGTGCTGACTTTTGTCACGATCTTGGCGATTGTTCTGCGCCAGAAAGATGCGACATTATATTTGTGATGAAGGGAATTGTGTTTCTGCGGAGTCCGCGATAACCATTACCACTTTGATCGCTATATTTGTTGGCGTTGGGGCCTTCCTGTTCTTACTTTGCTGTTGCGTGCGACAGAAACGTCGTTCAAGGAACGCGTTTACTAACAGAGCTCCCGGGAGAACAATTCCACTGCAAAATGAAGAAGTTGGCAGGCTACAAACGAGTTCAAATTTACAAGGAGACTACGAATCCGGTGGTCAAATTCCAGATCCCGTTGCTGAAGGTGGACCTCCTGCATACAATGAAGTCAGCACTCGGCCTGAGTCACCTCCGCCAACCTACGGACGGGTTATGAGCGCGTTCACATGAGATCCTGCCTCAAATGTACACGAGCAGCAAGTTTGATGGCTTTCATTGAGCAACACTATGGGAAGATCAGTTCGTAAGGTGGACATTTTTTGAACATAATGTAAAACTGCAACCTGTCGTTTAATTCTGCTTCAGAAATATGCGAACGGTTAACTGTGTCATGTCTTTCTGCGTCGCACATTTCTCATCAAAATGACTGGACGGGGCCAACAAACACATGACCTCGTCCTGCGAGAATTTCCCGCGAGATCTAGCTCGCGCGGGATTTTAAGATACTGTGCGACAAGACAAAAAACTCATTCAAAGGATACGTGACAAGGCTAGAAGTTCAGCAGAGAAGATCAGTTTATGATAAAATCTCGTGGGCACTGTTTTCTGAAAAGGACCTAATACATATCGGAGTGAAAGTCATTCTTGTTCCACAAAGTCGGCCTTACGCGCGTAATGACCTGGTAACGGCTATACTTACAGAAAATTGTAATGTTTGTAATGGACTGCAAGTTAAGCGCAGTTTCTTAAAATATCTGTAACCTTAACCGTTGTTCCGTTTGAATTATAAAGCTCTCCAGACTACCAGCAGGGTCTACACGCTAAACGTGAAAATCTACACTCCATTAACATTCTTAATTTCTGCTGAAGATATTTTCAGAGACTACAGAATGGCAGAAACCAGTAATAGATCAAAAATCAACATTGTTCATGATGTGACGACTCCACGCACGGTTCATATGGTCATAAAATGGGATTGGGAATTCATGTAAAGAATTAGTGTAAAACAGCTTGATAGTTTCAGGTCATGGCCAAGGGAACCAATCACGGACCAGTTTAGCCATATAATAATAATAGTAAGAATGAGGTCATGGTGAAAAGCGCAGCCATTTTAATATCTCTTTACGGCGNAAAAATCTGTTACACTTTCAGTTTTCGTTGCCTCAAAGCTTGCGAAAAAATATACAAGACTTTTATTTTAAGGAAAATATTATGAAGAAGACGAATAAACAAGGTGGATAATATACGTTCTCTCTGCTTATAAGGCGTTTGAAGCTAATCTTTTCAGTGACTGTCTAGTCAACTTACATGTTTATCTGGGCAACAGTTTTGGCGGGAACCACGTACGCAATGCATTTGACCGCTGTGAAAGTGATAAGTAACTGCTTCTTGGTTTTAAATTCCAGTGAAGGACAATTTAAGGGCCTCTTTGATACTACTCTTAAAAACTAATTAAAAAGCGCACTTTTACTGCTTCATAGTTGGACTATATACAGTACTGCTGTCTGTTTTAAAACTTGCTAAAAAAATGTTGTTCCTTGACATTTGGCATCAATCCTTTCGTGGAAAACTTGTGACATTGCGTGACATTTTAGGGACTTACACGCTCACTCTAGCTTTATGAGCTTGTGAGTTTATTTGTTTTCTTTTATTTTGATGATGGACTGTTCATTCGAAGACTTATCGATCCTTATGTTGATTTATTAGGACATGTTTTTTTGTGATTGAGGACGAGTGTTACATCTTACTTAGGATATCAGATGTTTATTGTGTAGAACATTCTAGAACGTTCGAGAACAGGCTTAAAATAACTTTGGGTCGGATTTCAAGTCATGATCATCGCTTTTCCGGCATGTTTGAGTCAATTGAAAATTGAGCATGTAATCAGCTACAATCACAGCGAGAATATATTTGGTTAAAAGGTGAAATTGAGAGTTCTTCAGTGTCTCAGNACTTTGGGTCGGATTTCAAGTCATGTGATCATCGCTTTCCCGGCGCGTGTGAGTCAATTGAAAATCGAGCATGTAATCAGCTACAATCACAGCGATAATATATTTGGTTAAAAGGTGAAATTGTGAATTCTTCAGTGTCTCAGGGAATTCGTGACAGGGCAGTTGACAGGGCAACTTAAAAATTCCCCACAAATTTTCCATATTTTAGTTTACCAAGAGAGAAAATTGTATCAAAGACATGAAGCGAATAAAAACATAGGATAGGTAAACACTACGAAGAAGAATTACGGACAATGACGGAGTTGAACGAAGAAACGAACAAACAAAGAACGAATGATCGACGATCGAATTTCCGCCGGCGGTTAACGAAAATATGTTTACCCGTTTGTTGATCGAGGTTAAGTTCTCCGAAAACAAATATCCAGTATTGCCCTCCAGCAGTCAAATACCATTAGCCTTGTATGAAGCTGTTAATTCTCTTTTCATGACCAAAATAGGAATTGTGAAATAGCTCAAACTTGAAAATGCATGTGAACACACACACCAGCTGCTCCCATAAAAACTAATTAGGATTGTTACTCAGCCGGTTCACCCTACGGCCACTCCGCGCCAATAAAATAAACAAACAAAAACGTTAAATGAATAATTTGTCAGTCTCAAGTCTTTGCCACATGGAGAAACTATTTTGACCCAAGCTTTTCAGGGGAAATTGCTGCATCGACGAAAATTGATGCTTCAGCACACTGCGAAAAAATCGCAGACTTGCATTACTCAAAAAAGCTATTTGTGGCGATCGCAGTTTTCACATAAAAGGGCGCTTATTGGAAAATTATCCATTGTTATTGAGTAAACTTGAATTAATCGGGGTCCAAAATTGTTTTAATTTCGCCTAATTGAAGAAAACGACCTTACTTAGGCCGTTAAGTTCAATACATCCCAATACGACATCAAATTGAAAAATAAGGACTGAACATAATTGTCATTTGCGGCCTGCTGAAAGGTTTTCTTGTTTCGATCTAAAATTAGAACATTGTATCACAATTTACTTTTGTTATTTTAGTACCATTAGCATTGCTAACAAGAGGAGAAGAAGACATAAGGACGCAGAAAAGAAGACAGATCTATAGCAGTTTTTTACCTCCGAGAATTTGTCGGATCGGCTAATGATGGTTAAAATGCCGCCCAAGGGCTTATTTTTGTGCAATATTGTTGCTTTACCAAGCGGAAAACAAGAAGGCGGGAATGTGGGATTGTTTGGACAGTCTGAACAAAGCGATTGTTTTGAAGTGAAACGTTCAGCGACCCAACAGTCTGCAGAAATCGACTTAAAATGGGTGTTCGAAAAAAGTGCGTGACTTTGTCGCCGCAAATGTGCGGGCACGCGATTTGACACCCGCAAAAATGAACCACTTGACAACCGGGCATTCATTTCATGGCCTTTTAAAAGACAAAAGCTACTGAGTGAACGGTTCGATGGGTTTTTAACAGGTTCGATGAACGATGCGTCCCAGAGAACTGTATGTACAATCGTCCTGCGATTGAAGAATATCTGCCATTTATACCCAATAACTCATGGTGACAACATGCTTCCGAAACCCATTTTGAAACAACAAAACAGTAGCACAGCGCTGATTGATAAGCATATTATTATTTGCATATCTATTATTTCCTGTTATTAACACCTGCGAGTCGTGCAGTCCGCTTTGTTACCACTTGTCGAGCTGCTGTGTAAATGAGCAAAGCCGCGTCAGTGTTTACCAAAACGGATAACTTCACGAATTTCGATGGGGGGACGACGTCGTATAATCTCGCGAGATGATGAAGGTCATTGAAGTCGCAGCTTTGCTCCTGCTGGTGATTTCATCCGGAGTTAGGTTGGACTCACGCTCGACCTGCTCCGAAGACAAGAAATGCTCTAACTCCGAAACATGCTGCGGTAACATTTGTGTCGACAGCTCGAAAGTCTGCAAAGTCGCGTGTCAGAAACAGTCGGACTGTGATAGCTTGGGGAACGCAAAATGCATCGATGGGTTCTGCGAATGTGTCGAGGAATCGTCTTGTTCGAACACATCGACATTGCATGAAAGATTCACGTGGAATCAACCTTGTAGCGCAGATGTCGATTGTTCTCAAAATGCGAATTCGAAATGTCGCAACAGAACTTGTGTTGCAACTAAGGAAAGACAGGAAGAAATGCCGCTTAATCCAGCTCTCCTTGCCATTGTGGCTATCATAGGGGTGTTAATGTTTTCGTGCCTTTTCTGCTGTTGTTTGAGCCGAATGAAAAGTGAAAGAAAATCTATGAAAACACGAGTGGCCAAGGGAAAACTAAAGAAAGTTCACGTACAGAGTAGCGATAATGAGGACGCAGTAAAGCTCGCTTCTTTTCCGTTATTAAATGCTGAAAGCCATGTTTCTTCGGCTACTGCCGAGAAAAAAACAATGATATTGGATAAAGACGAGGAAGCTCTGATTTCCGTTGTTATGAGCGGACTTGCGTTGCCTCCTATTCGCGAGGAAGACGAATTCGACGACGCGGATAAAGATTAGAAGATGAAAACAGCTGTGTTTACTTGGCTTGTGAAAAATAATTATTGCGCCGTCATAAAGAAGTGAAAACTCACTTGATTTGTTGCCTTCAACGGTAAAATGCAGTTAGCATCGAAGTAAAGCAGTAAACAGACAAACTCGAGAGTTTTCAGGCACGTAGCATTCGGAATATGCGAAATTTCCGTGCGGTTCATCATGTTGTTGATTAAAACTCGCTCTGTTGGTTAATAACGCAGCTTTTTTGCCTGCGGTTATAATGAATGGATCTGGGAAACCACCGAACCAAAGTTGGAGATCGCGAGTTATAATGCCGATTTTTAATCTTTTTTTTTTTGACCACTGATTACTTCAGAAGCTGGCAAGTACAAATCAGGTTAACTTGTGGTTGTAATTTCAAGTAAAATCAGCCGTAAAGTTTTCAACTACCTCGACAAAATTGTAAATTGTAATCGTTACAGATTTTTTTCAAAAAATATTTTTAACTATTTGTCTCCTTATTTTTCTCACGGGCTGCAATGTTTTTAATGACAATGAATTCTAGTCTAGACATTGACAAGATTTAGGTTTCAGGCAGTTATCAAAACGTGGCCTCGGGAAAAAAATCCTATAAGTTGAGCAGCTTTGGCGGAGATAGGAGAAGATTAAAATATACTTAATGGCTACAAAGTCAGGCTATATCGTATTCTTGTTGCTTAGAACATCAGATGTACAAAAAACAGTAATAAACGAAATTGGAAATAATTTATCGCGGAATGCCAACAGAATTAAAATAAATAATTTAATCTAGTACGTTTGTCATAAAATTATGATTGTTAAGTTCAAGAACTGATAAGTTACAAATTTATCTTTGCGAAATATTTTATATGCGTCATGTCGAAACACAATATTAATGGTTGTTTTTATTCTTTGTTCATTTGGATTTCCGAAGACTTTGACTGGCCAAATGGAGCCTTAATACTTGGATCGATTCAAATTCAAATGGTTATTATGGAAACATTTTTATTGAGTTTGCTATTTTAGGTATTAAAATTCGTCTAGTTATATTGACTAAGATGTTGTCTTTTAAAGAATACTTGTTTGTTCATGCCGCAAATAATACCATAAATAGCTTGGAAAAAGATTCTTGTATTGTAATGAGTGTCAATCGTAAACTTAATCCAGAATTAATAAAAAAGAGCTCACGAGCGGTTTTGTTCCTTACTTATGGGATTTTTATTGCTTGAAATATCAATTCTCCTCATTAAATGACATACATCGTATTTATTGCTTGTTCCGAGATGTTAGTGCCTCATCAATTCCTATTATTTCTCTCGACCACCTGTCAACGATCTTCTAACAATCTCATCCACACTGTTCTTAAGTGATTACACAGCGGTAGTTTCGAATTATTTCTACTCTCCAAATCAGTCGCCGAATTTCCTTATCGCATTTCATGTTGCATCGACAATTAGATTTTCTGTCGTTTTTCTTCGATTTCCTTTATCGATTACAAAGCAAAGTCCAAGCAATTTACTATCCCGAAAAGTGAAAAATTTGCATATACAGCTCACGGCTAAGCGTTTACTGAAAGTTTTAAACCAGCTTTGTCCCGATAATCAAAGTTATAAAATTGTACCACAGTTATTCTCCATTTCCACATTTTTTTCGCAGTCCTTTGTCAAGTTGCGCGCACTTTACGTACCGCGAAACTCGTGTCAAATCGAGGGAATCATTCCCCGCGGGTTTCCCGCGAGAAGATCGCGCGAGTCTGGGGGAAGGGCGCAGGAGTTCCAGTACATGTAGTATTACTAGTGCCAGGTCTCCTACACATTTATTACGGGTTATTCGGTTTCCTGTGGTTTGTTCGAGGTCGATATGTTTTTCGGAATTGCTTTGCATGTTTTGACGTTCTTGGTAGTTCTCCAGAGTCTTTTCAAGCAGGTATCCGTTCTTACTTGCACCGAAGACTTTGAATGCTATCAAAACGCCTCGAGCATTTGTTGTTCTGGTTCGTGCAAGGCATGGTGGAATTGTAAGGGCGGCTGCGTCTCCGACGATTCTTGTGAAGGCGAAGAGATTTGTTTTCGTTCTCGCTGTCAGGATCAAGATATCGATTTCCCAGCTTACTGTAGCAGTGATACAGATTGTATTGAAGAGGAAGAATGTGAATCGGGTCAGTGCAAGCCTCCTCCTCGGCCAGTTTCCCCTGACAATTCCGATGAAGTTCAATTGCAAGTCAGCTTTCATTTCGATCCACGCAATGTTATTATTGTTGGAAGCTCAGTTGGCGCTGTGATCTTTCTTGCTGTGGTTGTATACATCTCTTACCGTTGTCGTAAGCGACACAAAAGACGAAGATTTTCCCGAGGAACGTATTCTGCGCCGACTAACCTCGGCCATGGTGTTAGTTCGTTTTCATCTCCGCGAAGTGAAGTTGAGACTATCGCTCTTTATCGGCAACAAAACAGAGTAAGGCTGACATCAAGTGGAAGTAGTGGCTTTTCCTATCCTCAGGGACCGCCTCCTGAATATGACTCATTAACACTAGACAGTAATTTGGAAGTAGAATCGTCCTCTCCACCACCTTATGACCCTGCTGATAGAACTCTCTCCAGGATTTCATTTGAGGAAGCACAGGTTGGAGAAAATTTCTGTTTTGATATTTCTCTTAAATACCTAGTTTTGATATATTGGCAAGTTTGGCAAGCTTGGCAAGCGGGCAAGATGAACCAAATTCTTTGCTGTGACTGGCTGCCCAAAGAAGGCAAGATGGCATACGTGCTGTTTTCTCCTAGAAAAAGGTGTTCTTTATCTCATATGATAAGTACTTTTTTGACCAAGCTTGTTCTGTCAAGATGGCCAGATATTGGCCTCATTTTCTGTTTGTCCGTTTATGGAACTTGACTGCATCTTGATCCATATAAATGTACCAAAACGAACTTGGCCAATATCCAGCCATTTTGACCAAACATATTTACCTCCTCTGAGATGCAAGAAAATTTGTGGTTCATTTATATCTTGTGAGTAAATGATCCATATCTGTCAAGAGTAACTGGTCAAAACACACTTGGGCAAAATGCCTGGGATAAAATGCTCCCTTAAGAGTGTGCTGAAAGTAAAAATATCACATATGAAAACAAAATGCTGCACCAACGGGATGAATATCTAAGGTCCCAGTTATATGGTCTCAGGTACCTCCTTTGCTCAAAAATCCGTGGGGAAGAACGCAAATCAATGTTGTTTTGCGTTGTTCGTTGCATTCTTCCCCCGTGGATTTTCGAGCAAAAGAGAGATTGCTCGCAGTCTAAGTTGACCCTGCATGATTTTTTAGAGCCCTTAATGAATAATCAAATGTGGAAGTATCCCTCTTTCTTTGAGTTTTCCTTGATCATTCAATTACAGTGGGTTTTGCTGAGTTAATTTTCACTTCTTCTTTCGCCCCGCTTGCCAGTGTTGCCCTACCTGCTGAGGCAAGTCAACTTGCCAACCCAAGTTGTCTTGCCCCCCTAGACGGGTTGGCAATCCTAATGTAAACGGTTGGTTGAATTTTGCAAAGAAATAAGCTAAGAGTTACCTTGCCTGGGGTAACTTGAGGGAAGGGTTGTCTTGGGTACCTGAGACCTTATTTATAAATGGGGCCTAAGTAAACATATTCCAATTAATTATACCAGGGGTATTTTGTCCTAGGCATCTTGCCTTGGAGGCATTTTAACTGGCCTGTTCCAGGCTTTTGGTCAGTGGGGACTATTGAGAAAGCAGGCTGATGACAAGTGGGGTCTGGGAGAAAAAAGAGAGCCTGTAAGCACTGTTTTAAAAACTTTGTTCTGCCCAGGTGAAAAAAAAGAAACATTTCTTGTGCCAAAATGTCAAATGTCAAAATGTCAGTATATTTATTATTGTGTTACTTGTGCGAGTTTCACGACGTCTTACTGATCTTCATAACGTGTTGTGTTCTTCTGCAATCGTTCATGATCATGTCTGATGTGTTTAGAATCTCTTCGAGTGTGGAAGTCTTTGTGCAGGTGTACCGAGAATTAAACACTGCAGCTGATGAGATCCATCTGGAGGATTGAAACCATGGTCTTGCCTGAACAAACCCAAAAAATGGCATATACATGTACAAAACAGTCTAAAGGCTTGTGTGTAGACAGCTACATTTGAATCATGTAGTGCCAGAATGAAAAATTAAGGAGTTATAGACCTAAACATTGAGCTTGAAAGACAAAATCTCAATCAAATTGATAAAAGAAACATAAAATAAAACGTCTCGAAGAAAAACATATAGTTTCCTGAGAAGTTTTTCTTTCAAACTCTAGCATAAACTATTGCAGGCCTCTAAAAATGCTCCTTAAGTCACAAGAATACTTGTTGCTTAAGTACTTCAACAATGGAAACCACTTGATACATGTCAGTCAATTTTTGGATATAAATTATGATGTTACTGCTAACTGGTCATTGTTGTTGGCTGTCGGCCCATTATTGTTTTTTGTTATATGGCTTAAGCTCGTGGCTGATATAACGCACGCTCTGATTGGCTAAGAGGGAGATCTGAGCAGTCATTATGCAGCCGTGATGCTCACGGGCCGATTATGGATTATGCAAATTAGGAAAAGCCTGGCTCAGAAAATTCAAGTGCATTGAAACAATGAAAGCCCATTAAAAACAGTGAGAGAAAGTAAATTTAATTCCAAGTAGCTAGAAGTTTAGGGATTTTTCCTTAATAAAATTCATACAGAAGACATTTTTGACTTACCAGCCAATAACCTTGGCGGGCACTAGTGAAAAGCAATCAAAGTTTGCCGAGTCTTAAGTAAAGCTAAAATTGCTAAGTGAAAAATACCATCAGCAGATCTTTCATGCATCCTGAGCAGAACACCACTAAGAAACTTATAAGTTATCATCTTTATTCACAACAATAATATTACCGAAATATTGAACTCCGTCACAGTTCTCATCAAATAGATTCCCTCGCTTTAACACAGGCAAGTGTAAATCAGCTTCCAGTATAATCAGATGTAAACAATCGGGCGGTTTCTGTCGGTAGCAGTGTTTCTGATAACTGCAGGAAGTTTTAGATGTTCACAAGGCTTGAAAAGTTCATCCATAAATCCCAGAATGAAGAAGGCCAAGATATGTTGTTGAAAGTGAATGCGAAGATCGAGTTATTCTGAGCAGTGCATTCTGAAGAATTAGTATTTTCTTTCACCAAAAGACCATTGGTTTGGACTATTTTGAAGCACTTTCTGTCTTTTCTATACATGAATGGGTTGACATTTCGCCACAAAAGTCGGAAAGTGATTGCCGGATGTAAACTGACGACTTCGGCTGGAATAATTTTTATCTTTTCTTTAATTCATGAGTCATATAATAAACAACTTAATAACCTCAAACATTCGGTCATCACAGGAAAATCTCAAATCTTGACCTACTGTATTGACCTTGCTATCGCTCAGTCAATACAGCAAGGCCTCAGATTGAGATTTTCCCATGGCGGCCGAACGGTCAAGGTTATTAAGTTGTTCAAAAATTTGTAAATTTGCAGGCTCCACATTTTTTTCCCCTGAAGTTGCCATTTGTTATTTTTGCCTCAGCCTCCCCACCCACCATCAAAACCACCTATGAAGATGAATGACTGACAAATGAATGAAATGATACTGTAATGGGGAGGGAGGAATTACATGTTTGCTTTGCAGGAAGAACTTGTGCCTGAGACTGTTGCTATATTTTAGCAAGCTATGCTGTAAAATCCCGTAAACCAATTTATTAAGATGTAATTGAGCTATATAGTAGATTGTATCCAAAATGATATTTTAAAATGATTGCATGTTTTTGTTTTGAAGTGTTCTCTTTGCTAGGAATTCAGTTTTATCTATGTGCTAGAAATGCTGGCAATTGTTTTGTTGAATCTTGAGCTTGCATCATTCAGATCATGCCACAAAACCTGCTGTAAGTCAAAACATAACCTGACAGTTTTCATTTTTTTGTGTTATCTTGTTATGTTAGACACATATAAGTGTGGTTACTGCAGACACATTCATGTAAAGTGCAAGGTTTATCCTGGTTTGTTAGGGGCAGGGTTATTTTTTTTAAAGTTAGTGAGAAACAGTCTTTACATTCACTCTGGTGGTGCTTTGTATGTTGTTACTTAGCTCTTATCCACTAAGCTTAGTCAGTCTGTATGGGAGAATCTTGATTAGTACAGACCGAATGCAGCTTGAACGGCAATAAGCTGAACTTAAATCTGCCAAAGTTTGCTCATCCTCTATACTTTTTGGCATTCCCATGGAAATATTTTATAAGAAAATAGTCAATATTTTTGTATTTGAGTTTGCAACTTTTTCACCTGAAAATGTAACCAGTCTAGATGCTGGGTTAGACAGGCAAATCTAGACCACGGTGAATATCAATTTCAGCCAATCAAATTTGTTAATTTGGTAGTCCCCAGTCCTTGTGAGACACAGCCATATAATTAAGGGTAATAGCGGAGCTCCGGCGGCCCAAAGGGCCGCCAAGCGGAGCCCCATACTCATATAGGAAAGAAAAGGAAACCCATGAGTTGATTTTCTCATGGTNTGTTACGATCAATTGACACCTGTCAAAACGAGGTATCCGCTGACCAGTATCACCTGACCATATCGCGGGCTCAAGTTCACAGCCCCTCGTGGTCGTGTGTTTTTTTGAAGTTGGCCGCTAACCAAGTGCTGGTTTTCGATTGGATCGCGGGCTCATCTCAGGTTAACTTGTTGAAAACAGGGCAGGATTGTTCGGAGGCCGGTTAACGCTGACCCAGGATTACAAGTTAACCGAATTATTACTTTTTCTTCTATACAAATGTTTTTTGCTGCTTCGTTTTGTGTATATAGTGATTATTAAAACTCAAAACAGAAGGTCAAACAACTTACAGAAAACCTCAACGCAAAGTTAGAAAACTCAAATAAAAATTCTACCTTTTCCTGGGTTATTTGGCTCGAACAACCCGGCCCAGGAGCTATGCTTTTAGGCTGGCCTAAATCTATATATTATGCTCTTGGGCTTCAGTATCTAGTTTGTAATAAAGATGTGTTCTCTAAGCAACAAAAAAGAGAACTGAGTTCACAGCCAGTGAAAGTCAAACTCCTGGCTCAGTGATCAGGCCATCCAATTAGTATCCAGCAAGGTCATGGGTTCGACTTCCCTTAGTTAGGACTTTAAAAGTTTCTTTTGGGGAGGAGGGATGGTGCAGTGGTGAAAGCACTCAGCTACCAATGTCGCCCAGGTTCGATTCTGGCCTGGTGCCATATGTGGGTTGAGTTTTTTGTTGGTCCTCACCTTGCTCCAAGGTTTTTTTTCCAGGTTTTCCGGTTTTCCTTCCTCTGCCAAAACCAACATCTCTAAATTCCAATTTGACCAGGATAGAGGACTTGCATGAAAACCAGCTAGAGGCTTCCTCTCTAAAAATAAATGTAAATTAATGTTCCAGATTAATTCAACTTGAGAGCACACCTTTATGTACGAATTCATTCCATCAAGTGGCTTTTCTGCCTACATTGTTAATAGGTCAGTTGTTCAAAATTAAAATGTTCTATTTTATTTCCTAGGTGTAACTGATGGAATTTGACTGATCGAAACTTTGAGCAACGTCAAGACTTGCCAAACTTCTAAGAGTTAATATAAATTATGTTGTTTGTACAGACAATGTCCTTCATAATGCAACTTCAATCTGCAGCTTTATTTATTATTTTGCTGTAATGATGTAAATACAAACACCATCACACAAGCTGGTCAGTATACAGCAAAATCTGATGGGTTGATGCCAAGTACACTTTACTCTACCTTGGATGAAGGAGTCTTCTTATTTCTGTAACTATGTTTAATTAGATAATGTATACAGTGAATAATTTTCATGAGTTTGAGTTTAAGTTTCAAGTGAATGGCAATTTTGAATACCAGGCCCAGTTGTTTGAAGGTGGATGACCCTATCTGCTGGATAAATCACTATCCAGTGGACAAGTGTTGACAAAACAAACCGTACTATCCCATTGATAGTGATTTATCCAGTGGATAGTGTTATCCACCTTTTAAACAACCCAGGCCAATATGTTTTTAAAACATGTAGTACATCCATGCCAACTGTCCAGGATTATCTGGCAGTCTCATTGCTACAGACCAAATCTCCCAGCTCTTGTACAGGTTGCCAAATCCATTGGATACAAAGGAAAGTACTCAAAGTACATTTTTCATACTTATCTTGGCCAATTGTTGGCATTTTTTTGGGAGAAAAGTTTGGAATATTGAACACAATTTTTGCGGTTGAATTGGCAGAGCTTTAGTTTTAACAACCTTTTCACAGGGTCGAGGAGATAAAATTAGTGATCTTCCAGATGTGATTTTGTCATGTTGACATCCCTGATAGTACACTAGTATCTAATACTAGAATATTGTAGTTATAATGTACACTTGTACTGTAGAGTTTTTTAAAATATACTTGTATGCCAGTATAAGAAAAGATAAGTTGCATTTCCCTTACTAGAATTGAAAACCTTATGCCCCACTCAGAGGAGTGAACAGGATGAGTAAGACAGTGAGTGAGGGAATTAAAAACTAATTTTCCCAGCCTAACAAGAGTGAAAATAAGGCTAACTGAAATGCGAATAAGGCTACCAGAGTGTAAGTGCTAGTCAACCTAAATATAGTGACTTGAACTCAATTTTGAACCTGTAAACTTGTAATTGTGAATTAATGAAATTGGCAATTCCTTGAAATCTACATGCATGATTTCTTAAGGTTTATACTTGTGGTATGGTAGTGGGGTTTTCACATGGGCGTCATTAGTAATGTGCAGTTTTAAGGGTTTTGCATTTTACTATGATTAGTGTCTGATTGTTTAAGAAACTTGCACCAATGGCTCATTGAACCAGAAGTAAAACCAAATCAGATTGCACATTCTCCTACACTTTATTGTCAGTCAGATCTGGGGCATAAAGGATATTAGGGAAGGGGTTCAAGATACAGACCAATGAAGGCACCCCCTGTAAGGAGGTTCAGGGCACTCTCTCATGCAAAATGTTGAAAACAGATGTCCTCGGAAATGGGATTTGTGGCATTCTGAGGCGGTCAGTGTGTTATCATGTCTCTTTTTAAAGCTCCCTAGATCTGACCCAGTAGATATATTTACTTTGAGTTTGGATAGGTTCATTGGATTGTCCATGTCTTAGTTTGTGATTTTCCAGTTTGAAAATTACTTTGGTTTCGGTTTTACTACAAATCACAATCAAATGAAAATTGCTTTGAAGTACACTTGCTTTGAAATTACTTGATCTACACCTATTAAAATTACTCTCGGAACTTCTGCATTATGAAAAATTGGTTTAATTTTAATTTGTAGAAGACAAGAATGATCAAGAGCTGACAGGATGTGACAATGGAATATACTTATAGTATTATTGTAATCCTGTGAGTTGATTTGTTTGTTATCTATCTCTTTTCTATATCAGGGCTGTAGCCAGAGAAAAAAGAACTGTGGCAATGTCTATGGGTAAATTCTCTTCCTAGTTATTTAGCAGTGTTTTACTTTCCCCCATCAGAAAGAAAAACAACAAAACCAAAAAAGAGACACTTTGCCTCATATTGGCCATGGCCTTGTAAAAAAGAAGTTAATTTTTATTAAATATTTGTTACTAATTAAACAGCAGTGATGCAACATTTTTGATTAATACGAAGGCCACAGGCAAAAAAGCAGCAAATTCTAATGGCAAAAACGTTTGAAAAAGAGATAAACAATAGCCTCCATTTGGCATGAGAATATGCTAGGATATTTGTCTGTGCACATTATCTGTTCCGAGAAGTGAAGAACTGTGAGCAAAAACCGCGAGGAAAAGATGACATCCAAGGACAAATATCTGAGCGTATTCTCATGCCAAATGGAGGCTATTGTGTTAATTATCCATCAAACACCCGCAGTTTTAGAAATTGGGGAACATCACTTGGATATTCCCCAGTTTTAGCTGGGGAATATTCAGTCATTGCGCAAGCGTTGGGTTATGTTGAGGTATATGATATCTCTGAGGTCTTCAATTTATTGGTTTCCCTCTGAATTTATAGGGTATTTAAAATGCAAATAATTTGCACAATTTTCATGATTTCATTCCTCAAAGTTCATGTGCGCAGAAAATTGGCAAACAGGGACAACAATTATTACACCAGGAATAGACTTGCACATAAAATAGAGAGAGAGTAAAATATGAGATAACGGTGTCGTACAATGGGACAGTTATTTTAAGTCGTATAATAATTAAATGAATACGCGTGCTCTGATTGGTCAATCAGCTACGGTTTATTGTGCCAGTAAACTCATGGCAATTCTGCGTGTCTTCTGAATTATTATATAAAAGCAACAGACCACACGTTTTTATGGTTTATAGGCAGATAAACCACTTGGGATGTTGGAAGAACACTCGATGAATCCGTAAATCACTCGCCTGCGGCTCGTGATTTACGAATTCTTCTCGTGTTCTTCCAACATCCCGCGTGGTTTATAAGCCTATAAACCATAAAAACTTGTGGTCTATTGCTTAAGTATTGACAATCTTATTAATTTGTATATTTTTGTGAGCATCTCTACAAATAATTATCCATAGTTGTATTTTTCGATTAAGCAAGATGAATTATGTTTTAAATGTTTCTTGTCCAACCTTTTGATAATGAGCTCACAATTAGTCATATTTTGCTGTAGAAATCTCAGCTACCCGTAAATCCTTGAATTAGCGCCCC